AGAGAGAGAGAGAGAGAGAGAGAGAGAGAGAGAGAGAGAGAGTATTGAAATTTTTGTTGACTCATGTAAAATTGTTTTCATATAAATATTTCTGATATTTTGCGGTATAATTTGATACGATTTCTGTGTGAATTAACACAACTATGTATTTAATTTATAATAAAAATTAAAATTTATATAAAACTCTTGCAATTCAAAAAATCATTGCAAGTTTTAGCCGAAAATTTCATATATATTTTCCATCAATAATATAAATAATACAAATATTTTTTAATGCAAACAATATTTTTTCATAAGCAAAGAAAATCCTATTGTAATCATCAATACATTCAAGTCATACAGTCGTGAGACAGGGTTTATATACAAGAAAATTAATGACATTTTTTCGGTCACAATCATAGCATATGTAAAGCATATATAAAGATTACATTATATACGGACAGAGGGTTCGGTGGGTGCGCACCGGTATCATCATCAATACACATAGACCTACATTATATATCTATCCAGATTTGAATTCACATAATAAATATCTGATATATTCAATACATATTGTGTACAATCGATACAATGGACGGCAAATACGCATAAGAATTTTTTTGACAGAGAGAGAGAGAGAGAGAGAGAGAGAGAGAGAGAGAGAGAGAGTATCATACGGGTTTTTATATACGGGACGCGCGTCCCGGTGTACGTACATGTTTATATACTTCGGGTACCGACTCTCTCTCTCTCTCTCTCTCGCTAATGGTTTTTAACCGCAAGAGAGAGAGAGAGAGAGAGAGAGAGAGAGAGACCGAAGAATTTTCTAAACAGAAAATGACTTTATTTTCTTACTTCTAACTCTCAAAGCCATAGATTATTTAACACATGATAAATGATTATTTCACTTACCATTATTGTCAGTACACACATACCTGTCCTCCTGTCCCCCATCTCTACCCTTTCATATATACCCCTCTCTGTGGTATACAATTGAGACATTCAAACGCTGATTTAACCAAAAGCTTTTTATCAAGCTCATTTCTGTCTCTTTCTCTCTTTTTTCATTTTACTCCACAATGAATGAGATTTTTTAAACACAAAAAAGTCTTTAAAGTGTTTTTGCGAAGAAGTGTTCAGTGAAAGAGCCGGTGGACAGAGATGTCTATATTAGGCGTAAAATTAATGGCACTCTCATTGTGTATACCCGGGCCTACCCGACACCCCATCCCAACCCATCCCCACACAGCTATACAACTAAATTACATTATTCACAATATATCCCAAATTCACTATACACTGCATATTCACTACTGTATGCTATAAATTGTAAATCTATGGTTTTGGTCGTAATGTTTTATAAAGTTTTGTTTACTATAAAACATTTTTATATTCTGTTCATGTGATACAAAAACAACTAATATTTATTAATCGACAGCTTTATTGTAATTTAATACTCATTGGATTTATACGGAGATTAAAGATTAAATTCGTTACAGTGTGTGCCAAACGAAAACATTGAGATTTAAACTCATTCAAAAAGTTAATTCATAAATTCACAACATCAATAATAACACACATAACATACCCTACGTATACCTACCTCATTAATACAATCAACAATTTAAAAAACCACAAAGCTAACCTTAAAAAACTCATTACCATGTTTAAATCACACGCAGACTGATAGTCAATGTATTAATCCTTTTTTGGCCAATTAAGCTAATGGTGGTTCACAATTATAATTGACAATCTCGGTCGGCGCCCACCTGTTGTGCCAGCGCATGGCCATTCAGGGCACCATCAGTGCCACCTCCATGGTATATCTCATTTAAAAACCATAGTTAACCATTTATTCAAACGTGGTAAATAGCGCTTATATAATACATAGATACAATATCTATTAGCATCTAACCCCGGCACAACCTCCCGGTGCCCAAACACGCGATACATAAATGCATTTGTCGTGTATACCCATCGCAACCGACGGTGTCATCTCCTTATGGCGGTGTATGACATGTGCACTGCACGAGAGTTCATGTGTTAATCGCTGGCAACAGCCCCGAGACTTGCTGTGCACTCACTATCACACACACTATCACTACCCCTACTATTAAAAACAACATGATAATCCAATATACCCTAGCTGAGCCGATCCAATGCTAAGCTTGATTATATTGGATATCTATGTGACAATTGCCGCCACAGGTCTCTCTCTAACGCATTACGGGTCAGTTTGTGTCCAATCGATTTGAGTCTCTCTCTCTCTCTCTCTCTCTCTCTCTCTCTCTCGTGTTGTTTATCTAAACTCAAGAATTCGTTATTAATCTCTGGTTATTGATGTTAGAAGAGGGAGAGCTAATGGTCGAGCATTTTTGTGATGGTGATCCTAAATACACTGTATTGCCATCAGATAGATATTGGTCTAATATCTCGGACACTGATATATAACTCGGTGTTTATTATAAAATACAATTATAACATATAATGATGAAAACATGATAAAATTTACCAATCTAGTTATAAAATTATATCTTAATAATGTACAGAATGACAGCAATTATAATGTAAAAATTACCCCTTGGTCCAATGTATTGAGTGTAAATTTGTAGTTATTGGTGTTGGCACTTTTTCTCCCCCCCCCCCTCTTCCCCATACCTCACCATTACTGTCGGTCCCCTTATTTGGTCTGACATTTAAACGCCTGGCCTTTGATTAAAACTGATAAGATATGAGAGATGGTTGTGAGCGCACAGTATGTCTATACCGTGTAGTGTACTGTATATATAATTTATGGCTATTACTGATTAGGTAAAGGCCGTCGTGTCAGCAGCTGTGCCGCTGATATTACATTTGCTCTCTTTCTCTCTCTCTCTCTCTCTCTCATAAACTGATATAAGATGAAGCACTGGTAGGTATTGGCGGCGGTAATAGTAGCGCTGGTGCGGCGGACCCGGCAGTGGTTGTGCCTAAAACGTCGTGTGCACTAAATAAACATATCGATAGAATATTACAGAATATATTACACACACATCTATGTAATTCTCTGTCTACATCTATCTTTGCTTACCGTTCCCCTGCCCTCCCGACCCCTTCCCTATGTCTACATACATACGGAGATATTATACATGTTTTATAAAGCACTTAGACTTTTCACATCCATATCCACCTAATCTCTCTCTCTCTCTCTCTCTCTCTCTCTCTCTCTCCATATCTTAGCCGCTAAAACACAAAACTTTTGTCTCGGGTATTAAGCCATATATATCTATGTAAACAATAAATATGGTAAAAACCAAAACAGCTCTCAAAAACACTGCATACCATAGATTCAAAACCATTTATTATTCCTGATTCTTATCGTTTCGTGTTTAACACAACAACCAGAATATTATGTATAATACAACACATATTTACCATATTATAAAAGGGCACCGGTATATCCATACAGAGTACATATACCAGTGCTTTCTATTAGTTGACCGGTTATCTATTGGGATGTTGTGTTCACACTCTGTCTCTCACAAGTGTTTATCACTTATGGCTTTCAATTTATTGCCTCTCTATCTCTCACCCGCACTCTTACCCGCAATGGATAGTAAAATAGTAGTAAAATATTGTGATATTTGTTATTGTCTTTAACTGACACTTACCGCTATCAATATCCCTGTCCTTACTGTCTATGTGTGTTCAGTATAGTCCTATCTGTCGGACCGGGAGGTGGTGTCCGCATAATTTGGGAGGGTTTTGATGAGAGTGTGTATGTAGAGTGTAAATGAGATGTTTGTTTTTTGATAGCTCTCTCGGTCTCTCTCTCTCTCTCTCTCTCTCTCTCTCTCTCGCTGTCATAAATAGTAACCACTATTTGAGTGTTTATTTGATGGCCGACGAGATGAGAGACAAAAACATTTGTATAGTGTATATAATGTTAATATAAGGGCGCGCCGGGTATTAAACACCCTCTCACTATCCATAAGATTCATATTATTTACATTAATGAAATATTTGCTGCGAAAAAATCATTTTAGTATAAAAACAAAGCGATAGAAAAAACTTTTGTTTTCTTTGCATTGTTTTGTTATATCGTTGTTGTAATTCATAAATGAATAGTAATTGTAAATAAATTGTATTTTTATCGTAAGCTTTTATTTCTTTGCGTTTTTATTTGTTTTTTATTCACATCTCATTCATAAAACCATCTTTGTTTAAAAAAATGCAAGCCATCTCTCTCTCTCTCTCTCTCTCTCTCTCTCTCTCTCTATGGTTAGAAATAATTATCCGTTAATTAGTATTAATTTTGTTTAGCTGTGAAAACTAGTAGAAACCAAAAGTGTTTATACAAATAGATGTAATATTTGTGCCGATATAATGAACATATCTCTAAGCCCTACAAAAGCCTTAACACATTTAATGATAAAAACACATAAAACATATCAAAACAATTAAAAACGTGATTTGAGGCAAACATCGAGTTTTAAGCGAAACTTTATGTCATATAATGTTTAACGAGAGAGAGAGAGAGAGAGATGGCTTGCATTTTTTTAAACAAAGATGGTTTTATGAATGAGATGTGAATAAAAAACAAATAAAAACAATACCATCTTTTTACAGGTTCTTGTGGACAGGTATTCGCGGTAAAACTCGGGCGCCATCGGACACCACACTTCAGCGCACTGGACGCGCGCGATATACCCATTCGCTTGGAGTTCCAGCCAATTGGCTTCGTATAGCTTCGGGCCGATCAAGAAGTTGAGATCAGCGATCTTGTCGTCTTCGCGCACAAGAGTGGCCGTCAGTCCGAGTTTGCAGTGCGCCTGAACTATGGTCAGCACTCGACGGAACATTTTAGCCGGAATGGTGTGCACCTCATCCAACAGCATTAGGCCCCACTCCTGTTCGGTCAACCACTTCATCACTTGATCCGCTTCCCACGACCTCTTCTGTGTGTGCGTTATCATCGAGTAAGTGGTGATACAAATGCCCGAACCGATCGGCTTGTCTTTGGCGTCAGACGTGAACCGACAGATCATACTGTCGTCCGCTGTGGACCACAATTTAAACTATAAAATTCATTACACAAAGAAAACAACAAATTATGGTTAATTGTTATCACTTCCAACCATCTCAAAGAATTCGTCGATTATTAGTGAACACAAAAGGTGACAAGTTGTCTTTGCCGTCTTAACGTCTCTTGCTCTGTGGCGAAGAATTGCCACGTTGTCCGCCAGTGTGGCTGGTCGCTAAACGGCCGTCCGCACGGAAGCACTATCACACCAGAGCGGGCCCTCCCGTTGCCAAACATTTTGCGCAAACTCTTCTCCTGATAGGGTCTGAGGAATGCCGTCGGCCTTAAGTCCATACTAAACACAGTGAGAGTTAAACCAATCAATAAAGCCTTAAGTTTAACGCCAAATATCATTCAAAATTACTTGATATCGGGATTCAATGTATCGTTTTTAAAGTCATATTCGGCTAACAATGGATACTCTAATTGAATGCAACGCTTCTGAAGATTCTCGATCTCCGACTGATTCACTTCGAAGGACACAATCTTCGTGTCGTCCGCGTCGTCGTCGTCTCTCTCCATCTTCTCGTAATAGTTGGCGATATCGTCGGGAACTTTACTTAAATCCTCGCCTTCTTTGGCGGCCGCGCCGTCCGTCCCGTCGGCGGCTTTACTATCACTCGCTTTATTGTCTTTCGACGAGACAATGAGCCCGTCGTCCGCTTCGGTGTCCGCATCGCGTCTGAGCCGACAGTTCTGTATTTCGGGATCTTTTAGCAGCTTTTGTATCACTTCCTGTTATCAGTAATGCAGACATTCATTAAATAAATACATTACAAATATAACCATAGATTCAACGCTTACAGCGAACGGCGATTCAACAAAATATCGGTTGTGTTTCAACACTAGTTTCACTTTACCATAGCTTATGGTACAGAGCTTTAAGACAAAACGTTTTAAGAGACCATTAGTTCAATTGAAACAATCAATTCAACGGCAAAGCAATGCTTACATTAATAAACTCAACGATTCCGTCAGGAATTGTTGTTTTACTCAAACGCCGCAAATATTCGACGATATCTTTGGTCTGAAGGCCCACAGAGACGGCCGCGTAGAGCGAATACGCGGTCAGTTTGTACTCATGCATGTGTTCGGGACGGGAGACCGGCTATACATTAGCGACCAATCAAATCAATCAATTAGTTATGACAACAAATGGCAAAACAAGGCAATCGGTGGTAGAAATACCTCAGCGATGGCAATGAGGAAGTCGTGGGCGTGTTTATAGACGGGCGAAAAGGTCTCGAGAAATATGTGTCCGTCGGGTGCGACCCAAAGCGGACGTGACATATAGTCGTCGCGAAGAGTCACGTCTAACGTGTAGTCTTTGGCGCCGAACTCGTCTTCGCGGACGCCCTCCGCTATCTGACGACTCGCCGACTCCGGCATTATGTCTACGAGTGGTCAACAATCATAACAAAGACATTACTCAACACATCCCAAAACACATGCACACAATCGACAGGCGCTGTCAATGTCTTTCTCACCGGTAGTCTCATTGTTGTCGTTGTCGTCGTTCACGTCATCGTTGGTGTTGTTATTGCTATTATTATTACTTGAATTGCCCTTTGATTTGAATTTATAGTAACTTTTATCTAAAAAAACCAAAAAATTAATTGTAAACAAAATTAACGCCAAAAACATCGGCCAAAAGGTGACCACAAGAGAAGACAACAGACAAAACACACAAACCTTTGCGACCCATCGGAGGGGCCGGTAGTCTATCGCCGAAAACGACAGACAAATCACACAAAAACGTAAATCAAAAGACAATTAAATGACAATTAATTGCAATCAAAACAAAAGTCAAACGAATCGTATGGCAAACGATGAGTGAATGGTTGCGAGAAAACACTGTTTTGGGCTTTAAATGTGTTTATTATCGCACAAACAACTGGTTTCACACATTTGGGTTCACTTTAACCATAAACAACGTCGGGTTTAAAACACCCAAAAGTTAACCCAAACCCACACAACAACAACACACATACACTTTGCGGTAAAAGTAAATTAAATGCAATCAAAATTTGAACACATATTAAACTAAACAGTGATTTAATAATTACAACAAAACATTTCACTTATAAACCACATGTACTATACAAACGAATAGAGACCCGAGTTTTGATAACTATTTCACATACGGAATAGCCATTGAAAAGCTATACATCTCTACTGATATAAAAGGGACCAAAAGTGACTCAAACGCTATGACTGTGTTTTGGCGCCGAAAAAGTGGTCTCAAAAACAGTCAATAAAAACACAAAACAATAATTGATTTGCTTTTGAAAAGTGTTTGAAAAGCAAAACACTAGTAATTGTGGACCAAATCAGGTGATGATGAGTGAAGACAAGGCGATGGCCAACACGTCGGCCACCACTACGGCGGCCACGGAATCGTTGGACTCGAAATCGGTGGACAAACAGCTGATGATGGAAATGTCTGAATACCGCAACGATTTCATCGACTTCTTCCTCAGTGTTTACGGCAAACAGTTTGACAAACGGTTCCGAGAGGTGACCGACGCGTTGGCCGCCGAGACAGAGGCGCCCGAAAAGGCGGACCGATTTCGGGCGATACGCGACCAACACATGAGACAATGCGAGGCATCTCTTGAGAAGCGATTGGACGCCGAGTTCGAGCGACTCTTCGGCGACCAGTCGGTGATCGACAAACTCTTAACAGACGTAACCGATAAGCCGGCGGACGACGAGTTGCCCGCCATTCAGGAGGCCCTCCGCCCTGTGAAGCGGCAGTTTGTGGATCAGCTCCAGAATTTGGAGCGACTGATGACCGAACGGCTCGACTCCAAGACCAACGAGTTGTCCGAATTGACCGAATCGGTCGCTCAGGCGTTCACTGAATACGAGGCCAAACGGAAGTCGCTTCAAAAGGTTGGCTTTTATTACGGTTTTGTTTAATGTTTTGATTGTATATTTTAATGATAATTGTCTTCACCCGTGTCTTAGAGTGTCTTAAAAATGGTCAACAAATTGGAAACAATCGAAAGCCCAGAATTGGATTAGATTTGTGGGACTCACGAGGAATGGGACACCAATTACTTAATATCATTGAGTTTTTAGTATTATAT